AAACAATCCTTGGCCTCAAACAGTGAAAAAGAAGAGCTACTTTGTAAATATTTCACCAGTTTTCCTTGAATCAAAAAGAAAAAGTTTGAGACAAATTTCATTTCTTTTGTAAACAATCCTTGGCCTCAAACAGTGAAAAAGAAGAGCTACTTTGTAAATATTTCACCAGTTCTCCTTGAATCAAAAAGAAAAAGTTTGAGACAAATTTCATTTCTTTTTGGGAGAAAGATGTATATAGCCCTATAATGTTTTGGTCTCTTTCATGGAAGACTGCAAATGAATATATCTATAATGTTGTAATACGGTTATTACACTGTAGTAGTGTAAGCTGTTTTGCCCTTGGGGTTAGATTAGCTTAAACCATATGAACTACTCTACTCTCAAGTACCAAGGAAACCCAGGACAGAATTTCCACATTTTCACAACATTAAACAATGGCCCCTGTCTCTGGGGAGTGGGAGGAGTGGAGATGGATGATTATTATATAGATGACTTGTCACACTTCAGGCAATGACGTAGTTGAAGTGATTAAAGTTTTTCTTATCTAAGCAGCTAAATTTGAAAGATATGGTGTACCACATTTATATCCCTGACCATTTTTTAAAAGTGAGCCCAGAGCTTGGGAAAGATGAATGGTGGCAAATTATCCTCATTCTTCAGTCACTTCTTGTAACATTTGTTTTTTTGGTGTTTTGTTTTTTGTTTTTGTTTTACAATAGTGTCTTTGGAGAATGGTTCGACTACTGCCTGATACCATCAATAGCATTAACCTGGACAAAATTCTTCTGGATATCCACATTTTTATGAAGGTCTTCCCCAAAGAGAAACTGAAGCAATGCAAAAGTGAATTTCCCATAAGGACCCTAAAGACTCTGCTTCACACCTTATGCAAATTAAAAGGTCCCAAGGTGAGTGAGAACAACATCTGGTTTCAGAGGGAGCTTGGGAGAACGTGGAAATGGCATTGCTACCATTTGGATGTGCATGTGTCTCCCTCAGATCCTTGACCACCTAACGATGATTGACAACAAGAATGAGTCTGAGCTGGAGGCCCATCTCTGCCGGATGATGAAGCACAGTATGGACCAGACTGGGAGCAAGTTTGATAAGGAAACAGAAAAGGGAGCATCTCGAATAGTGAGTGGCCTGGCTTGAAAGAGAGGGAAATGTGGTTGCACTGGAAGTGATCTTGTTTAAGTACAGGTCACCTGGAAACTGTCTTTCTGAGGGCCCAAGGTGAAGGCTCAGGGATTGGTCTGATCAGTCTTCTGCTGTGGTGCTGTAACCATTTCCGCCTTGAAATATTAAAATATAAACTAATTATAATCATGCGTTTTTTGGTCCCCAAGAAAGGTTTCTCTGTCTGTGGCTAAGGCATTGGTCACCAGATAAATCCACTGTGAGCTCTGTTTCACTGGGGAGGAATGGAGCAGTTCCTTCTTCAACAGATTAGGTGAAAACCTGAGAATGGAGGTAACCCAGAATGTTAGTGTTTCTGCTGAAGACTCTCAGCATTGGCAGTTTTGTTATCTCCAGGAACATACTGATAAGGTCCAGATTTTGAGATATTTTCTGCTCATATCCAAACATTGGTTCTTAATAACTCAAGTCTAACCAGTTCTTCCTGGTGTCTTTCAACTTTTCAGGATGAAAAATCATCAAAGGCCAAAGTTAATGATTTCTTAGCTGAGATTTTTAAGAAGATTGGTTCTAAAGAGAACACTAAAGAGGTAAGAGTGAAAGGGTTAAGCCAAGTGGGGCTCTGTTTTATGGAAAGGGGCACTAACACCCATCCCCACATCTTCCTTTTTCTTGTTCACCAGGGCCTCGCAGAGTTATATGAATATAAGAAGAAATATTCAGATGCCGACATTGAACCATTTCTGAAAAATTCCTCACAATTCTTCCAGAGCTATGTTGAGAGAGGCCTTCGGGTGATTGAGATGGAAAGGGAGGGCAAAGGCCGAATTCCCACTTCGACAGGTACAGTTTCCTTTAGTAGCTCCAGGAACAAGCTCAAAATAGCTCCCAGCTCAGGAACCTGAAGTTTTGGTCGGTATAAATTCATATCCGTGAACTTTAGTGCTTAATGGTCACC